AGACTGAGGCTACTGGAAACTCGGCCTCGTGGGGCAAGCGGGTGGGGATCGCCCGCCACTTTCCGTATAGGAAAGGGCCGGGCTTTGAGGTCGGCATTCAGGCACTTGCACTTGCGGGCAGCGGCACTACTGGAGCGTAGACTTGCGGGCTGCTTGCTGCGCTAGCGCTAGGTGCGGGCGCGCACGGGCGTCGAGAGGGTACAGGGCGCTGCTGAGGGCAGCGCGATAGCCCAGCCTTCATAGCCAGGCTGGGGCTTGGACTTAATCAGCGGTTGGTGGTGGTCTTCGTGCATGAGGGTGAAGAAGTGGGTGAGAAAGTTGAGGGTGAGAGAGAGAGAGAGATGAGGTTGATGATGTGAGGGCACATACCTGGTCTCGGCGATGGTCTACAAGGGTCGACATCTTCATGTACTTCGGTTCTGCTGCTGACGTCAACGGGATGCATTGTCAATTTGTAGGCCAGAGTATGCTGAGCGCCAAGTAGGAGGAAGGACTCTGGATACATATGTTGGTGCTGGCGAGAGTATGCTCTTATTGACATTCGGATGCAGTGCTTTGGTTCTCCGTTGGTGAACTTGGTGCAATATCAGTGCATTTTTTGCTTTTTAGACAGCGTTCGACTCGCTGGCTTTCAATGTGATTTTGCATTCTGGATTTCTGTCATTTCGCTATCGCTCATTTCCCTTGCAAAGTAAATAGTTTAATAAGTTAATGCGAGGATCTGGGTCCTCGGCAGGCCTAAGGGGCCCCTACAGCAAATGTACCCGCCCTAAGTGAAGGCGGGCCTAGCAAGTTACGAGAGGCCCTTGGCTGTCAATTTCATATTTGGGGTCCAGGCAGTTTCGTCGCGCCAGTTGGTTGGAGGAAAACACAGGCCGAGCAGCGTGGAATTTCCCAGGCCTTCCAGGCCTTTCCGAAAGCACAGGCCCTGGGCGAGATTTGCAGCCTCATTCAGAGACAGTTGGGAGGCCCAACCGAATGAGGCCCAGTAGCTACAACAGAGGCGCAGCATCCTGGGGCCTACCGGAAGCTTCTGGGCCCAGGCCAGTCCAGCCAGGCTGCGAAGCAGGCAGGCTCTTTCCATATAGGAAAGAGCTCGCCACTCTCAGGGACATTCAGCACTCGCATGCTAGCGGCAGCGCTGCTGAAGCAAAGGCTCGTGGGCTGCTGCTGGCGCTGAGAGGCGAGGTGCAGCACGTGCGGTCGTGCAGGGAAGAAGGGCGCTGCTGAGGGCAGCGCCATAGCCCAGCCTCCATAGCTGGCAGGGCTTGGATCTACAGTGTGGCGCAGGGGTGGTCTTCGGGTGTAAACAGGGAAGACGTGGGAGGAAGTCAAGAGAGAAAGAGAGAAGGATGGTGATGATGATGATGTGAGGGCACATGCCTGGTATTGGCGATGGTTCTGCATGGGCGACATCTTCAAGTACTTCGGGTGATGCTGACGTCAACAGTTGCATTGTCAATTCGTAGGCTAGTAGTAGCTGTGTGGGGAGTAGGCTGAGCGCCGAGCGCCAGATAGGGAGATAGGGACTGGATACATATGTTGGTGGTGGCGAGAGCAAGCTTTCATCGACATTGGCTTTCAGTGCTACTATTCTCTATTGGTGTCATATTGGTGCAATGCTACGTTCTGAACACTGTGTTACGATCTGGCTTTCAATGTGATTGTGCGATCTGAATATTGTCATCTCGCTTCTGCTCATTTTCCTTGCATTAATAATGCTTAGAAGAAAAATAGGGTTTTGAGTTTTTTGACAGAATTTCATGGGTCTCAGCATTGGCTTTCAGTGCTACTATTCTCTATTGCTGTCATATTGGTGCAATGCTACGTTCTGAACACTGTGTTACGATCTGGCTTTCAATGTGATTGTGCGATCTGAATATTGTCATCTCGCTTCTGTTCATTTTCCTTGCATTTAATAATGCTCAGAAGAAAAATAGGGTTTTGAGTTTTTTGACAGAATTTCATGGGTGTCAGCATCTAAGTCCCAATAGAAATCCAAAAAAAAAAAATGGTCCCAATAGAAGTCCCAGATCCCCAGTGCTCCATGTACTACAGCCCAAACTGGTAGGCTCGTCCATACAGTAGGTCGCCCAGGACTTGTAGGTCTGTCCGTGCCAGTAGGCCTATAGGTCTGGGAGGCCGGTAGTTAGTCAGTCACCTATCAGTCCAGTCCAAACCACAATTCACCCCCCAGGGAAGTCCAGAAACCATCTGATGCGCAAAAATCCAGCCCCAGCCGACAAGTCTGGGCACCAGTCAAAGATGTGGAACTGCAGGATATAGTACAGATGTCCACCGGCAGCCAAGCGACAATGAAAATTTGCATTAGAGCCTCATCGTGGAAGAGTTGTTGTGGTTTTGTGCAGTCAAACTACCAGTACTTGGCCCAGCTATCGGGTGCGGAAAAAAAATAGAGTAGAAACATTTCTAGTCGGATGAATTTGGGCGCTCCTGTAGTGGCCCGTGCGTTTCCTAAAATTGTAGCTTGTATACGGGCACGACTTCAGGAAGTACTGGTGGTTCAAGCATTGAGTGCGGCTGACAGGCAGTCTAGTAGGCTAGTCAACGGCCCCTAGTGGGGGGGAGGAGAGAGAGAGAGAGAGAGAGAGAGAGAGAGAGAGAGAGAGAGAGAGAGAGAGAGAGAGAGAGAGAGAGAGAGAGAGAGAGAGAGNGAGAGAGAGAGAGAGAGAGAGAGAGAGAGAGAGAGAGAGAGAGAGAGAGAGAGAGAGAGAGAGAGAGAGAGAGAGTTACCTTGTTGTTGTGAGTGGTGGCCGTAGCTGACAGTGTACATATACGAGACTGCTGTATAAGACCTTGAATTTCTCGAAAGAGTTCGGTGTTTTTTTTTTTTTTTTTTTTCTCACCAATTTAAGAAATTCAAGTTAAAGGTTAAACAGATTGAGGATGAGACACACAAGCATTCGAGTACACACTGAATCGTGCAACACAAGAGCTTATCAGACTCAAAGTACCAAATTACTTAGTATGCGAAGTACCGAAGTACGTAGTACAAAACACACTGATTGCTGTAAGCCGGTGGGTTCTGGCACCCCGACCGGTTTCGGCCGCCGCCACACGGTCCTCCTCAGGGGGATTACCACCATACAACTTCCCTCGACATTGCCGTCGTTCCACACGCCCACCTCCGCTATTGACCAAGTAAGCATCTCCGGAAATGCCTACCGGTTGCATGCATCGGACCAGGAATGATGCCTATGCAATCATGTCTATTATAGTCAACGTGATACCCGTCCCTACCCTTAAACTGTCAGCCCCATATAGGACCCGACTGAAAAAGTGTCAGGACAACTTCTGACGAAATAGCTACAGACTGACCGAAAAACACTCAAAAGCCGAAATCAACTCCTGGGAAATACCTAGTTCAAAACGCCTCCAAACAAAAACAAAACAGAACAAGACAAAATGCGTCGAACGGACACATTTCAAAAATCAAATGGAGACAGTCGGGAGTTCAAGTCCCAGTCCATACTCCATCGCCTTTGTCGGCTACGTAAGGTTCAAAACTACAAGACAATGGACAGAAGAACAGGTACAATATGCAAAATATGCAAAATACCTGGTTCGTCCAAATCGGTTCCGGTTTCAAAAACCAAAGCAGCGAAACAACTAAGGCAACTAATGGCCCTGTCAAAGCGTTCTTTCAAAACACTAACAGCATCTAGAAACATCTTACCGGTTCAAATCCTAAAATCCTAAAAGGCTACTGACAACAGCTAACAACACTAAACCCTGTCACTACATCTGGACAGGACGGCCTTTCAGGCCTTTTTTCTATTGTCATTATAGTATTTCGGGGAACCCCGTAGCAGCCACATCCGTGCTCAAGCCTCGAGTGACATTGAGCAGAGACTGTTGATTTTGGAATTGTACACATATGAAGTTGGGTTGAACCGCCAAAAAAAAAAAAAAAAAACGTTGGGTTCCACCTTGGCCGAGGTCCCACTAGCAAGAAGGATAGGATCGAGCTCCTGAATCTGGASGTGTTTTATGCAGAGATGCAGAAGAGCAGTTCAATCTCGATTTCCTGCACATCTCCATAACCTCGACCAGATTCAGACATTCGATCCGATCCTCTTTGCTAGTGGGACCACGCCCCTTGTGTGTGAAGCTTTGTGTGATAGAGTGTGAATTCATGAGATCATTGCCGTTTAGAGCTTTAAACTTTGAAGAAGAGAAAACTCGAAAAAAGAAAGGATCCCCTTGCTTGCTGCTCCGATTTCTCCTCGCGCACATTTTCCGGTGCACTTGCCCAGATTCTTCATTTCTGACAGTAGATTATGAAGATCAGCCCCACAAAAAAACGAAAAAGTGAAAAAAAAAAGAACCTCAACGACTCATCCGTTAGAAGAAAAGAATCTTGGTACTAACTTACTAAGCGAGACCTAAAAAAAAAAGGGGGGGCAAGTACTTTTAAGTCACACCCAATGTTCAGAATGGGCAACTTCAGCAGTTCCCCAAATATGGCAGAAAAGACAACCCTTTTTTTTTTTTTTTTTTTTTTTTTTTTT